GCCTATAATGATTAATGCTAAGCATTTAAATTTAAAAAATTTATAGAAGAGGGGCCTCCTGAGCAACCAAAAAATTTTTGGGCATATTTGCCACATACGGGAGAAGAAAGGGTTTTAAGACCATCCTTTGAGGATTGTGTTTTAAAGAGTGCCAGGGTAACAAAAAAGACCTAGTTTAAATGATGAGACAGGTCCGTCGTTGACGGAAAAATTGGGGGATATCTTTTTAAATTTTTAGGTGAAACATTATGCCTTTTTCGGGGTGACATAAGTAAAGCTTTCCCAAGAGTAGGTTTACAAGAGGCCCGCCAGGATTGTACCCGCTTTTTATGGCCTGGAATCCTAGTGACCCCTTGGGCCCTCTGAAAACCTTTCGTTTAGGGCGATTATTTGGGGCTACTCCCCTTCCTACTTTGAGCAACGAAATGCCAAAACCCCTTAAATGTATGGAAATTCGATTTTGTAAAAGTAATGAGTAAAAATTTTATGTGGACAATTTCCCGGGGGCGACGTCAACTGAAGAGGAACTGGAATGAATTTTGGAGAGGCTAAAAAAATAATGCAAAGCGCAAATATGCCTCTGAGAGAATGGGGAATATTTAATTTTCCAAAATTTCAGGGGAAAAAAAAGTAAAGATTACCCCGGGATGAAGTGCCCAAAATGTGTAATGTATTTTGGGGTTTTAACTTTGGGATATGAAGAGATTTTTTTTTAAAGTTAAAAAATAATAATTACAGTTGCCCCAATAAATTAACAAGAGAGTTTTTCTTGCTAAATTTCAAAAGTTTTGATCCTAGGTTTATGTCCCCCCTTCATAAGAGGAAAAAATTTTTAATACAGGGAACAGGAAACTTTAAAAGTGCTTGGGATAAATTTACCGGGGGTTCATTACGGTGGGATAAATTTAATTTGGGGATTATGAAAATTTAAAGTTGGAGTTCCCCTGCCCGGTGGCCAATCCAAATGGGAAAAGGGTTTTTCCACATTTTTTTTGATGCTTCAAAATTGGATTGGAGCAGTTGCTTACCCTTTAATGTAAAATGTTTTTCTCTTTTATGTTAAGGCAAAGTGTCTCCAATTAAAACACGACCTTGCCTCAGTTGGGGTTACAGCCATGTATTGGTGTCAAATTAGCTAAATTTTATAGAAAAAAGTTTAGGAATAAATATTACACGTGTAATTTGGCTGAAAGAGGATCCTTTAATGGGTTGTAATGGGAAAAATAAAAATTTTTTACGTACAAAAAAGAGTCGCTGAAATTAATCAGATGCAAGAGAAGTATAAGTTTGGGTAGATAGTTAAAAATTTAATCATTACCCGGTGAAAAGAATCCGTGATTTCTTGTCTCGAGGTTTACCTTATGCTAAATTTGTAAATGCTGTATCATGGTTTAAAGGACCGAGCGGTTGGTTTAAAAAGCTAATTGGCCGTACAAAAGGCATATATTGCTCTGTTTAAAAAATTTGTGACCACTGCTCCAATAGTTTTTCCTTCATTAGCCTTCATATAAATAGTATTCTTCTTTCCCCAAACTAATCAAAGTAATAAGTTGGTGTTTAAATTTCTAAACAAAAGGAAAATTTCATTTAAATTTTCACATCCTCTTTTTTATTGGATAAAAGGTGGGGTTTGGTGGTTTTTTTGGGTTTGGGTTTTTAATAGGGGTTGGGGGTTTTGGAAAATTAATTGGGAAGGAGAAAATGGAAAAGGATGAATTATGTAAAAAATTTTGAAAATTCTTAAAAGAATTGCTAAAAAAAAAATGTAATGCAGGTGGGGGGCAAATTCTTTTAAAAAGTATTAGGGAAACTTTCTGGAAAATTTCCACAAGGAGGGCAAATGTAAAAAGGGTGTAAAATCTTGTTAAATTTCCCGGGGGTTGGATGCCAGAAACTATAAATGTACCCCAGGTCTTCCCAAACCCTTGCCAAATGAGCAAATTTTAGTCATTTAGCAACGAACTGCGCCCGGCTGCAGTGGGAAATTTCTGAAATATTTTCCAGAAAAAAGTAGTTATAGTAAATGGGCCAAATGTATTTTAAAATAATTTTTTAGAAAAATGGGAAATGAGCCTGTGCCTGTGCAAAAGGGGGTCGCCATTTTGTTTGAAATTTGGTAGAAGCGTTAGTGTAATGGGAAAAATTTTTCGTGTCTAGAGGTTAAAAATTTGGGGTGACACCCCTCAAATAGGAGACGAAATTTTTGGTGTGTATTCCCGCATAATTGAGATATCCGACAGGACAGGAAACTCCAGGAACCCCAGATAAGCGTCTAATTTTTGTTTAAATTCGGCCAGTAAATTTTTTATAAATGAGGCAAAAGGGAGGGTCCCGTACAGACACATTAAAACCCATCAAAAATGGTGATGATATTAAAAATATTTTTTTTTGTTTGCAAATGTTTTTATATAATAATTTTTTTAATTTTTAAAATACAGTCCCAAATTTATATATTTACCCGCATTCTTGGTGTATGTATATTTCATTTTAATTTAAAAGGTCCAGAAATTGTGGATATGCAGGGTAGGGATCGAAGGGGGGGGCTTTTTTTGGGCCTAGGTGTCCCAATCCTCCTGTCTAACTGATAAATAATAATTATCTTTGTTCATTTACTGTTGTGTACATAATGATACATTCACATAAATGCAATTTTCCACATGTAATATATTCCAGAAACTTCATAGTCATACTGCTAAGGACATTTTTTCTGTCTGTTCAGATTTCATGTATGCACTACCCATCCTGTGGGTGGCAGTTATCCCATACTCATCCTGTTGGTCGTAATTATCCCATACCCACCCTGTGAATGGTAGTTATCCCATACCCATCCTGATCCTGTGGGTGGTATTTATCTCATACCCATCCTGATCCTGTTAGTGGTAGTCACCCCCATACCCATCCTGATCCTGAGGGTGGTAGTCACCTCATACCCATACGGTGGCCCAGTGGCCTGGTGGCTAAAGCTCCCGCTTCACACACGGAGGGCCCGGGTTCGATTCCCGGCGGGTGGAAACATTTCGACACGTTTCCTTACACCTGTTGTCCTGTTCACCTAGCAGCAAATAGGAACCTGGGTGTTAGTCGACTGTGTGGGTCGCATCCTGGGGGACAAGATTGAGGACCCCAATGGAGAAATAAGTTAGACAGTCCTCGATGACGCACTGACTTTCTTGGGTTATCCTGGGTGGCTAACCCTCCGGGGTTAAAAATCCGAACGAAATCTTATCTTATCTGATCCTGAGGGTGGTAGTCACCCCATACCCATCCTTATCCTGAGGGTGGTAGTCACCCCATACCCATCCTGATCCTGTGGGTGGTAGTCACCCCATACCCATCCTGATCCTGTGGGTGGTTAGTCATCCCATTCCCATCCTCATCCTGTGGGGAGTAGTCCACCCCATACCCATCCTGATCCTGTGGGTGGTAGTCACCTCATACCCATCCTAATCCTGTGGGTGGTAGTCACCTCATACCCATCCTAATCCTGTGGGTGGTAGTCACCTCATACCCATCCTGATCCTGTGGGTGGTAGTCACCTCATACCCATCCTAATCCTGTGGGTGGTAGTCACCTCATACCCATCCTAATCCTGTGGGTGGTAGTCACCTCATACCCATCCTAATCCTGTGGGTGGTAGTCACCCCATACCCATCCTGATCCTGTGGGTGGTAGTCACCTCATACCCATCCTAATCCTGTGGGTGGTAGTCACCTCATACCCATCCTAATCCTGTGGGTGGTAGTCACCTCATACCCATCCTGATCCTGTGGGTGGTAGTCACCTCATACCCATCCTGATCCTGTGGGTAGTAGTCACCTCATACCATCCTGATCCTGTGGGTGGTAGTCACCTCATACCCATCCTGATCCTGTGGGTGGTAGTCCACCTCATACCCATCCTAATCCTGTGGGTTGGTAGTCACCTCAAACCCATCCTGATCCTGTGGGTGGTAGTCACCCCATACCCATCCTGATCCTGTGGGTGGTGGTCACCTCATACCCATCCTAATCCTGTGGGTGGTAGTCACCCCATACCCATCCTAATCCTGTGGGTGGTAGTCACCTCATACCCATCCTAATCCTGTGGGTGGTAGTCACCTCATACCCATCCTGATCCTGTGGGTGGTAGTCACCCATACCCATCCTGATCCTGTGGGTGGTAGTCACCTCATACCCATCCTAATCCTGTGGGTGGTAGTCACCCCATACCCATCCTAATCCTGTGGGTGGTAGTCACCTCATACCCATCCTGATCCTGTGGGTGGTAGTCACCCCATACCCATCCTAATCCTGTGGGTGGTAGTCACCTCATACCCATCCTGATCCTGTGGGTGGTAGTCACCTCATACCCATCCTGATCCTGTGGGTGGTAGTCACCTCATTACCCATCCTGATCCTGTGGGTGGTAGTCACCCCATACCCATCCTGTGGGTGTTAACAAAGCATAACTTAAAACTTGTCTTTGTGGGTGAGCAATGTGTTACAGAGTTGGCCCTACAAATGTTTTTATCTCTTGATACCAAAAAATTACTTTGATAAGATAATACATCAGCAGGTATTGGCCGTGAAGCATCTCTCTCACCTTAGATAAGTTTGGATGCAAGAGTAATACTGCAGAATGAGGGCAGGTTCTCCTTCAGCTTAACTTGTTTACTAGCCACTCCATAGGCTACACCATAATTAACACAGCTAGAAAAATTTTCGATTAGGTTTATAAACGAAAAAAATCTTATTCAACTTGGCCTAGGCTACGATAGATTGAAGATAGCTTGGTATCTATGTTACTTTCACGTTGACATCTTTTTATTTTTGTCTTCTATTGTAATACTACTACACTCAGAATAAAATTAAGGGGTATTTGTTCCCTAGTAACAGGTATGAATTTACACGTACAGTATATAAGCTTCACCTAGAGGTGTTTTTTAATAAAAAGTAATAGGTTACGTAAGCATTGCAAAGTTCAGATGTAGGTTGGTGATAAGATTACATGAGAGTGTACATTACTAGCAGCTACCAGGGAGGGAGGTGCTCCCATCTCTTGTATCCCAGTGGCCACTATTGTACAACCTGCTGCAAGGAACCTACAAATAATACCGTAACGCAGGACTTCCATCAAGTGTAGTCTACACATTTATTAGCGAGTAAGTTGCAAGTGGCACACCTCTTGGTCTGTCCACCTCGCTGCGGCCTACCGCACTTCTCTGCTCTTTATAACTTCTTGAAACTATCAGTGCAACAGTGTGATCATTCTTAATATGTAATATGGGGTACTCAGCACTTAAAGTTTACCCCCGAAATCATCTACAGGTATTTGAGGGAATGGAACAGACTGCCTGTCACAAGTCAAAGTCAGTCATAGCATGAGCCAGTTCAAGAAGAGTGCCAAAAGGTGCCTAATGAATGTAGCGACAGAAAGGGAAGAGAAGGATTTTTTTTTTTTTTAGCTAACACGTATGTAAATATAAATAACTCATTTTACCTTATTCCTAGTATATCTCCTTTATAGTATAATAATAAGGTATTAAAAGGACTCCAATGGAAATAAATCACTGTGACTTTTTTGTGTTATCTCAGATTATCTACACATATGCTGTTATGTATGATAATCTATGTAACTGTATTTGTGTATATCTGAATAAACTTATTTACTTATTAACACATCAGCACTAAAAGTTTCAAGTCGAGCAGAAGATGCATTTTCTAGTTATTGCACAGAAACCCATGAAAGAAGCATCAGCCAGTGAAAACTGATTTAGTTTAATAAGTGTAATATTTTTATTATGCACCCCATACCCATCCTTCACAATTATTATAAACAAAGGAAAGCCCTCAACCTGAATGGTTCATTATAGTGCCTTTTGAACAGGAAACATTCAAATCTCAATCCAAACAAGAAGATAGACCTAGTTCCTCGTATCAAGAGCCCCTCACCATTAAGGTAAAAATAATGCAATAAAATAATACTATACCATGTTGAGGTGGCAAAATGGCGTCCAACTTCTTCTACGTAAGATACACCACTGTTGAAGGCGCTAGAGGAGCCTGTCTCATCTACCACACTAAAACATAATTTGGGAATGACCTATGTAGCAGTGTGCATGAGGCACCTATGAACACACATTATACAAGCACTGAAAATGTGAAGCTGCTCGAATAATGCGTTCTAGTGTAATACACAAATTTTCTTTTGTAAGAAAAATTAAAATGTTGCTGGAAAATGTTCCTCTTATAATTATAACTAAACGTTGTTGAATGTTTCTAAAAATAGGAAAGTCTTCCCTCATTAAACTAAAACAGGACCATAAAAAGCGATTTTTTATATATTTTTTTCATTTGCATTCCCTTTAAAATTATCTAAAGTCCTGTAAGAAGGAATATTTGTCTTTGATATTTTAATATAAAAATGTTTCCTGTGAAACTGATCGTACGACATTTCTAGTTAATACTGTACATGGGAAACAATTTGCTCAATAAAATTGAAAAAAAAATGAAATTTACACCACTCAAAGAGTGACAAACTGTGCTTTAATCAATCTCGCCAATGGTAGAAGTTTGAAGCCAACCAGAAAAACATTCTTCAGTAATTGATCTCATTCTAATTCCAGTTTTTTTATCTTTCAGAAAAAATTCAAATCTGTCTTCTAGGACTAAATACGTACATGGGGTGTCATCCCTCTTATAGAATGCATCATCACTAATATTTTAAAGCCATTCAGACGACCCATTCTTTAACTATTGAACAAAAAATGAATATCAATATTCAATAACAACCCCATCACTGGTAAAACTTTGAAACCAATCAAATGAATTATTCTCGGGTTATGGCACAGATTCCTGCGATTCCAAGTTTTTGATTACAGTATTTCACTACAACAAATTTGCATACATGCAAATTATAGATGTATCATAGATGTATCAGCCATTCTGAAGAGGTACATTGAAAATTATTGAACTAGTTAAAAATTTCACACTATTTTACAAATAAAATGTCCAAATCAGCAACTACACATTTGAATTTTACTCTGCTGTTGTCAAATTTTAGGCACCTTTTTTTTTTGATGTTTGAAGCTGAGCAATGTCAGGAAGCTGGGAATAGGTTCACCAACTTTGGTCGTAAGACATAAAAACATGCCAGTTGTACCAAGAATTTGGTCCTCATTACCATACACAACCAAGTTAATTAATTTCCAGCTGCCAGCCATACAGGACCTGGAGAGAGTTCTGGGGGTCAATGCCCCCGCAGCCCAGTCTGTGACCAGGCCTCATGGTGGACCAGGGCCTGATCAACCAGGCTAGCCGCACGCCGTCCAAAGTACTACCCACAGCCCGGGTGATGAGGTACTGACTGTAGGTGCCTGTTCAGTTCCTGCTTGAAGACAGCCAGGGGTCTATTGGTAATCCCCCTGATGTATGCTGGGAGGCAGTTGAACAGTCTTGGGCCCCTGACACTGTGTTGTTTCTCATCGTGCTAGTGACACCCCTGCTTTTCATTGGGGGGATGTTGCACCGTCTGCCGAGTTGTTTGCTTTCGGAGAGAGTGATTTTCCTGTGCAAGTTTGGTACTGGTCCCTCTAGGATTTTGCAGGTGTATATAATCATGTATCTCTCCCTCCTGCATTCCAGGGAGTACAGGTTTAGGAACTTCAAGCGTTCCCAGTAAATGAGATGGTTTATCACAGTTAAGTGCGCCGTAAAGGTTCTCTGTACATTTTCTAGGTCAGCAATTTCACCTGCTTTAAGGCAGGTGCTGTTAGTGTGCAGCAATATTCCAGCCTAGATAGAACAAGCGACCTGAAGAGTGTCATCATGGGCTTGGCATCCCTGGTTTTGAAGGTTCTCATTATCCATCCTGTCATTTTTCTAGCAGATGTGATTGATACAATGCTATGATCCTTGAAGGTGAGATCCTCCGACATGATCACTCCCAGGTCTTTGATATTAGTTTTTCGCTCTATTGTGTTGTTGGAATTTGTTTTATACTCCTATGAAGTTTTAATTTCCTTATGTTTTTCATATCGGAGTAATTGAAATTTCTCATCATTGAACTTCATATTGTTTTCTGCAGCCCATTTAAAGATTTGGTTGATGTCCGCCTGGTGTCTTGCAGTGTCTTCAATGGAGGACACTGTCATGCAGATTTGGGTGTCATCTGCAAAGGAAGACACGACGCTGTGGCTTATATCCCTGTCTATGTCCGATATGAGGATGAGGAACAAGATGGGCGCGAGTACTGTACCTTGTGGAAGAGCTTTTCACTGTAGCCGCCTCAGACTTTACCCCGTTGACTACTACTCTTTGTGTTCTATTTGTTAGGAAATTATAGATCCATGTACCAACTTTTCCTGTTATTCCTTTAACATGCATTTTGTGCACTATTAGATCATGGTCACACTTGTCAAAGGTTTTTGCAAAGTCTGTGTATATTACATTTGCATTCTGTTCGTCTTCTAGTGCATCTAGGACCTTGTCGTAGTGATCCAGTAGTTGGGACAGACAGGAGTGACCTGCTCTAAACCCATGTTGCCCTAGGTTGTGTAATTGATGGGTATCTAGATGGGCGGTGATCTTGCTTCTTAGGACCCTTTCAGAGATTTTTATGATATGGGATGTTAGCACTATCGGTCTGTAGTTCTTTGCTATTGCTTTACTACCCCCTTTGTGGAGTGGGGCTATATCTGTTGTTTTTAGTAAGTAACTGTGGGACGACCCCAGTGTCCATGCTCCCTCTCCATAAGATGTTAAGAGCACGTGATAGGGGCTTCTTGCAGTTCTTGCACAAGCCAATTAGATGGGGCATTCACGAGTTATGAGCAAAATAAAGCTGAAAAAAAAGAAAATTCAAACAATCGCTAAAATGTCCTCCTTTGGGGATATCCAATTACTGTTACTTGGCTATGGCTAAGTAACTGCTTTTCATTTGTTGTGCAAACATTGATTACGTATTTGTTATTTGTCATTTTTTGTATACTGTGCTCCATATTATAAATTAAATTTTGACTCATTGATTGCTACCTCTTCCTCAAGAGTCACTAAAATAGTTTATGAAGTTCCAGTTTATTATTATTATTATTAAACACTGATCGTTTCCTGAGATAGCATGACCTGAAAAGGAAGAAACACTGTCACCATCACCATCACTATCTTGCCAGAGGCATGCCAACATTACAGCTCAGATGCCCCTCCGGACTGTAATATTCCCATTCCTTCTTTGGAGTGCAGGCACTGTGCTTCCCACCTCCAGGACTGAAGACCAGTCCTATCGATTGGTCTTCTGCCAAAACTGTCTTCCCTGCTTCCATCTTTAACAGTCGCCGTCTGGCTGAATCCTCCCTAATACACAACTTTCCTTGTATGAATGAATCTTAGTCCTGGCCTCATCTCTGTAGATGCCTTCCTTTCCCACTACATTGTAAAATGCTCCAAACTCCAGAACACCCGTGACTTAACCTGATTCCTCCTTTTTCTTCTTCCTCTTCCCCTTTCCTCTTTCCTTTTTCTCCTTTGGGTTGTCTTTCTTCTGCCTTGTATTTATTCCTTCTTTATTTATTTATTTATTCCCCCCTCTTGTGTTTTTGCTCTTACCCTCTGTGGCTCCTAGCTCCCTTGCAGTGCTCCTCTTTCTTAGTATCTGACTGGCTCCTTCTTACAACCTCCCCCACTACTACCTATATATTCCCCTCCCTCTCTCCTTTTCGTTAGTGTGACTTTGTAAATAGTCCAAGTTGGACCGAAACGTCATCGTAAGCTCCTCTCTTCTTTGTGCGGGTTATTTGTGTATACCCTTCCAAATTCATCCACCAACCTTTGCAACTTCTTTTCAGAATCTCCCAAAAGCACCATGTCATCAAAAAAAAAAAGCAGCTGTGACTACTCCCACTGTATATTAAATTCTTTATCTTTTAATTTTACACCTCTCCCTATAACTCTAGCATTAACTTCTTTTACAGCCCCATCTATAAATACGTTAAAAACCATAATGTCATCACACATCCCTGTCTAAGGCTTACTTTTGCCAGAAAATAATCTCCCTCTCTCCTAAATACACTAACCTGAGCCATACTATCCTCATAAAAGCTCTTAATTGCTTTAAGTAACCTATCACCTATTCCATACACTTGAAACAGTTAGGCTAGCTTGGCTTACGCTTTTGGGAGGTGACCAGGAAAAGCCTTTTACACATAGGCCCAAAAATATAATTATCTCCATTGTAAAACCCTCTTAACATTGGTGAATTTACACACTAAATAACAAATGAGTGGCTCATCTCTATATTTATCTTTGTTACTTTTTTTTTTACTAGATTTATGCTACCTTTTTTTTGTTTGGTTATCAAAAAAACTTTCTCCACAGTAACAAAATAATGTGTCTCCATTGTACTACCCACTTAACATTGAAAATTTTTCATAATAACTATCCCCTTGGCTCCCAGCATCTTAGTCACCTCTTTTGAGATGGATGGCTCATGAAGAATTCTTTTCTGCTTCCCCATGGAGATTTTTGGAATATGATGACCATAACATTTACAATTTATTTTGTGACATATAACATTAATAATTTACAGTTTCAGATGATCAAGAGACTGTCATGAGGCAACCAAGACATTGACTTGAGTCAATTTGAGTTAAGAAAGGCACCGCCAAGGTCCCAAGAGCTAGTTGATCCAATAGACCCCTTCATGAGAGGACCAGGAAGTCCCCAAGAGCTGGGTGGACTGCTAAATCACCCTGTGAGAGGAGCAGGCAAAAGACACCCTTTGCCTACCCAGTGGGCAGCACCTTCCACCAGCCCAGCAATGCCCTTTCCCTCAGCCTTTCAGTCATCAGCAACTGTGGTGGCTCCAGTTTTCCCAAGACCCTCTACACCACCATTAAGGGAATATTCACCACCAAGAGGTAATCCTCCACCACCACTACGAGGATATTCCCCACCAACACGGGGATATTCTCCACCACCGCAGGGTTATTCCCTATCACCACAGGGATATCCACCTCCACCACCACCACCACCACCACCACGGGGATATTCACCTCCACCACCACGGAGAAATTCACCTCCACCACCACGGGGATATTTATCTCCACCACCACGGAGAAATTCACCTCCACCACCACGGGGATATTCACATCCACCACCACGGGGATATTCGCCTCCACCACCACAGGGATATTCGCCTCCACCACCACGGGGATATTCGCCTCCACTACCACGGGAAAATTCCCCACCACCACAGGGATACTATTCACTTTCACCACCACGGGGTTATTCTCCACCACCACGGGGATATTCACTTCCGCCACCACGGGGATATTCACCTCCTCCACCACGAGGATATTCACCTCCTCCACCACGAGGATATTCACCTCCACCGCGGAGAAATTCCCCACCACCAAAAGGATATTCGCCACCGCCACCACGAGGCATGTCTCGACCACCACCACGAGTTTATTCACCTCCACCACGAGGATATTCACCTCCACCACGAGGATATTCACCTCCACCGCCACAGAGAAATTCCCCGCCACCACGGGGATATTCACCACCACCACCACGGGGATATTCACCACCACCACCCCGAAAGTTTTCGCCACCACCAGTACAGGGATATTCGGTGTCACCACCACAAACGGGATATTCCCTACCACCACAGAGTAATTCGCCACCAAGAAGATATTCACAACCATCACCAAGGAGATATTCCCCACCACCTCCAAGGGAATATTTTCCATCACAAGGATATTCCTCATCACCAAAGAGATATTCACCAACTCCACAGAGATATTCCCCTCAACCTCGACGGAGGCATTCCCCACCGCTTTCACGTAGGTATTCTGAACCAGCAGAAAGATATTCACCACCACCACAGGGATATTCTCCACGACGGGGATATTCGGGATATTCTCCACCACAACGGGAATATTCTCCCCCACAACAGGGATATTCTCCCACACCACGGGGATATTCTCCCCCACCACGGAGACATTTCCCAACACCACCAAAAGGAAAACCATCTGCAGTAGCTGAAAGGGTACATCCGCCTCCAGCAGACAGGTCTCCAACAGTGCACCAATATGGTCCCTCGAGAGGTGGCAGGGAACCAGCACAGAACAGACAGCCACATCAGACTTCAGTAATTAGGGGTGTGAATGTCTCCAACACAGGAAGCTCCAACAAAGGTAGCTCCAATGTTGGTAGTTCCAACACTGGCAAAGAGCCTCAGGGGAAGCACAAGACACCACTGGGCATTAAACCTTCCCCATCAACACAACAGAAGCCCCATGTACCCATGCCAGATTATGACCCTAATCCCCAAGTTGCTTACCTTCCCAGCCCTGATTATTGATACTTGTGATTAGTATAAACTATTTAGTCTATGGGTTTAACACATGTACAGTGTACATGTTTAATAATTAGTTCATGAACAGCATATGCTAGCCATGGTGATGGTTACTAGTTTGCAAGTGTAATAAACTCTTGGCAAATATTTAGTTTAGAGGCTTGACTGAACTCAGTCTTTATTTTACTTTTTAAAATACAGTCTTGTGCAAATTGTTCACTTGGGATATATTAGACACAAATTACTTTTATGAGAGGAAGAATGTACAGTGGGCCCCTGCGAATTTGCAGCTTCAGTAATTCGCGGATTTTTCCTTAGAGTCTAACTAATGATTGTTCGCAGAAATCCCTGCAAATTCACCGAAATTTTTTTTGGCCTTTTTCATTGCAATATATAAGTTTTTATGTGTTTTAACGCTAAATATTAAGAAAAACATAATTTAATAATTTTGTATCATAAATATTAATGTAAATTCAACAAAATTTCCATATAAAATATAACACTATAATTTTTTTAGTGCTGTAGAGAGAATGGTATCACTCATTTTTGGTGAGTATGTACCTGCACCTTTAACTTCACTTGTACTAAATTAAATTATTATAATCCCTATACTATTTACTGTACGTATACTAAAGAAAACAGGGTTGCATGAATTACAGTGTACCAAAGAAAATGTTTTTACATGAATTACAGTACATATGGAGGTAACATCAGTATTTTACGTTCTAGCACTGCAGGAGTACAGTACTGTATATGGGTTTATCTTTACATTCTTTTTTTTTTTAAGGGTGATGTATGAAGCTGAGTTTGAAATAAAATTAAAGTGTTTTGAGGGCATATTTAGGGTTTAAACTATAAAAATAGGCCTTTATAGGCATTTTTTAACTTCGTCCAAAATTCGCGGTTTTTCCAAATTCGCAGGTGGTCTTGGAACATAACCCCCGTGAATTTGGGGGGACTACTGTATTTCATATAATGTACCACTGAAGAGATATGACTGGTCAAACAACTATTAGTATACAGTCATATGACATGATATGCCAATCAGCTGTTAACATTGTCATGTGACTGAATAATCACTGGAAATTTAAAAAACTGTAGATTACACTGACGATGGGACAATATTAGGATAGCTTTTTTTTGTAGATCCATAGGCTGCAAGAAATCAGTGCATGGGCAGCTGACTGATTCAGCGGGAAGAGCTCTGACCTGGAGTTTTGTGACTCCCTCACCCTGGGTTCAAACCCCACTTATTTGGTGGTTAGTCTCACCTACATGTGGGTGTATGGGTCAAGTCGTCTCAAGGAAGCATGTTGCCTAGATAGGGTCACTTTCCAGCGAGTCATTATGTACAGATTAATGCAGAAGGTAGGATTTTAAAGTAGTAATAAAAATGTAACAGTGAGCTCAGGTCATACCCACTGTATTAGGTCACCAATTTAATATACAGTACACCACATTACGTGTATTATCTTTCTTCTTTCAACAAACCGGCCATATCCCACAGAGGCAGGGTGGCCCAAAAAGAAAAACACATATTTCTCTTTTTAACTTCAGTAATGTATACAGGAGAGGGGGTTACTAGCTCCTTGCTTCCGGCATTTTAGTCTCCTCTTACGACACGCATGACTTACAGAGGAAGAATTTTGTTCCACTTCCCTATGGAGAATATATTATTATATCCTTTCCTATTTTATAAGGAACATAGCATATGTTTTTTTTCATATTAGATAAATGAGACTACAGGTTTCCATATATGGCAAATGCACAAAGACAGGAATTTCTGTGGTCATGAGAAGTTCCAGCCCCTAAAGCACAAGGCATTAAATATAATTTCCCAAGCACCTAAAGGGATCTGCCTTTAGAGGGTGATGGATACAATTACACTTACATACAAACTGATTGCTACTGTATAAATTATCTTGCTTGTTAATGTACATTTAACTGAAAATGTTAATAAAGATTTGAAAATCTATAATTCTTTATGAATAAACTTTTCTAATTTTTTTTTTTTTTTTTCAACAAGTCGACCGTCTCCCACCGAGGCAGGGTGACCCAAAAAAGGAAGAAAATCCCCAAAAAGAAAATACTTTCATCATCATTCAACACTTTCACCACACTCACACATTATCACTGTTTTTGCAGAGGTGCTCAGAATACAACAGTTTAGAAGCATATACGTATAAAGATACACAACATATCCCTCCAAACTGCCAATATCCCAAACCCCTCCTTTAAAGTGCAGGCATTGTACTTCCCATTTCCAGGACTCAAGTCCGACTATATGAAAATAACCGGTTTCCCTGAATCCCTTCACTAATTATTACCCTGCTCACACTCCAACAGATCGTCAGGTCCCAAGTATCATTCATCTCCATTCACTCCTATCTAACATGCTCATGCACGCTTGCTGAAAGTCCAAGCCCCTCGCCCACAAAACCTCCTTTACCCCCTCTTTCCAACCCTTTCGAGGACGACCCCTACCCCTCCTTCCTTCCCCTATAGATTTATATGCTTTCCATGTCATTCTACTTTGATCCATTCTCTCTAAATTACCAAACCACCTCAACAACCCCTCTTCTGCCCTCTGACTAATGCTTTTATTAACTCCAACACCTTCTCCTAATTTCCATACTCCAAATTTTCTGCATAATATTTACACCACACATTGCCCTTAGACAGGACATCTCCACTGCCTCCAACCGTCTCCTCGCTGCTGCATTTACCACCCAAGCTTCACATCCATATAAGAGTGTTGGTACTACTATACTTTCATACATTCCCTTCTTTGCCTCCATAGATAACGTTTTTTGACTCCACATATACCTCAACGCACCACTCACCTTTTTTCCCTCATCAATTCTATGATTAACTTCATCCTTCATAAATCCATCCGCCGACACGTCAACTCCCAAGTATCTGAAAACATTCACTTCTTCCATACTCCTCCTCCCCAATTTGATATCCAATTTTTCTTTATCTAAATCATTTGATACCCTCATCACCTTACTCTTTTCTATGTTCACTTTCAACTTTCTACCTTTACACACATTCTCAAACTCATCCACTAACCTTTGCAATTTTTCTTTAGAATCTCCCATAAGCACAGTATCATCAGCAAAAAGTAACTGTGTCAATTCCCATTTTGAATTTGATTCCCCATAATTTAACCCTACCCCCCTCCCGAACACCCTAGCATTTACTTCTTTTACAACCCCATCTATAAATATATTAAACAACCATGGTGACATTACACATCCCTGTCTAAGACCTACTTTTACCAGGAAGTATTCTCCCTCTCTTCTACACACCCTAACCTGAGCCTCAATATCCTCATAAAAACTCTTAACAGCATTTAGTAACTTACCACCTATTCCATATACTTGCAACATCTGCCACATTGCTCCTCTATCCACTCTATCATATGCCTTTTCTAAATCCATAAATGCAATAAAAACTTCCCTACCTTTATCTAAATACTGTTCACATATATGCTTCAATGTAAACACTTGATCTACACATCCCCTACCCACTCTGAAGCCTCCCTGCTCATCCGCAATCCTACATTCTGTCTTACCTCTAATTCTTTCAATTATAACCCTACCGTATACTTTTCCTAGTATACTAAGTAAACTTATTCCTCTATAATTTTTACAATCTCTTTTGTCCCCTTTCCCTTTATATAAAGGGACTATACATGCTCTCCGCCAATCCCTAGGTACCTTCCCCTCTTTCATACATTTATTAAACAAAAGTACCAACCACTCCAACACTATATCCCCCCCTGCTTTTTAACATTTCTGTCATGATCCTGTCAGTTCCAGCTGCTTTACCCCTTTCATTCTACATAATGCATCACGTACCTCCACCACACTTACATTCTGCTCTTCTTCACTCCTAAAAGATGGTTATACCTCCCGGCCAGTGCATGAAATTACCGCCTCCCATTTTTCTTCAACATTTAAAAGTTTCTCAAAATATTCTCGCTCATCTACCTATTACCTCCCTTTCCCCATCTACTAATTCCCCTACTCTGTTTTTAACTGACAATCCATACTTTCCCTAGGCTTTCTTAACTTGGTTTAACTCACTCCAAAATTTTTTTCTTATTTTCATTAAAATTTCTTGACAGTGCCGTGCCTCTCCCACTCTATCATCTGCTCTCCTTTTGCACTCTCTCACCACTCTTTCACCTTTCTTTTACTCTCCATATACTCTGCTCTTCTTATAACACTTCTGCTTTGTAAAAACCTCTCATAAGCTACCTTTTTCTCTTTTATCACACCCTTTACTTCATCATTCCACCAGTCACTCCTCTTTCCTCCTGCCCCCACCCTCCTATAACCACAAACTTCTGCCCCACATTCTAATACTGCATTTTTAAAAACTATTCCAATCCTCTTCAACCCCCCACTACTCATCTTTGCACAAGCCCACCTTTCTGCCAATAGTCGCTTATATCTCACCCGAACTTCCTCCTCCCTTAGTTTATACACTTTCACCTCCCTCTTAATTGTTGTTGCCACCTTCCTCTTTTCCCATCTACCTCTTACTCTAACTGTAGCTACAACTAAATAATGATCCGATATATCAGTTGCCCCTCTATAAACATATACATCCTGGAGCCTACCCATCACCATTTTATCCACCAATAATAATCTAACAAACTACTTTCATTACGTGCTACATCATACCTTGCATATTTATTTATCCTCTTTTTCATAAAATATGTATTACTTATTACCAAATTTCTTTCTACACATAGCTCAATTAAAGGCTCCCCATTTACATTTACCCCTGGCACCCCAAATTTACCTACTACTCCTCCATAACATTTTTACCCACTTTAGCATTGAATCCCCAACCCACCATTCCCTCTCACACTTGTTTCAAAACTCCCAACGCATTCACTCAACATTTCCCAGAATCTCTCTCTCTACACTTCTCTCTTCTCCGGTGCTTTACACGCTTACTATAACCCACTTTTCAATCCAATCTTTATTTTACTCCACATAATCCTTGAATTTTTTACATTTGTAGTCCCTCTTTTCCTGCCATGTTACCCTTAAAACATTATTGCTACTCCTTCTTTAGCTCTAACTCTATTTGAAACCCCTGACCTAATCCCATTTAATCCTCTCCATTGAAACTTCCCCACCCCTTCAGCTTTGTTTCACTTAAAGCCAGGACATCCCGCAATTCAGACTTCCCACTTTGACAATTTTCTTCTTCTTATTCTTTTTAGTAATCTTTACAGGAAAAGGGGTTTTTAGCTCATTGTTCCCCGGGATTTTAGTTGACTTTTACAACACGCATGGCTTACGGAGGAAGATTCTTTTTTCCACTTCCCATGGATATAAAAGGAAAAGTAATAAGACCAAGAAAATATTAAAATAAAATCAAAGAAAACTCAGATGGTGTGTATAATAAACGTTGTACATGTATGTGTGTGTGACCTAAGTGTAAGTTTGAAGTAGCAAGGACATGCCTGTAATCTGCATATTTATGAGACAGACAAAAGACACCAGCAATCCTACCATCATGTAAAACAATTACAGGCCCTCGTTTTACACTCGCTTGGCAGGACGGTGCACCCCCCTGGGCGGTTGCTGTCTCCCAACCCTTTTTTTTCCGTTACATCAGACAGCAATATTTCAATAAACGGGTAATTAACCAATACAGGGGAAACCCCGAATCTCAGCCACTGCGTTTATCGGAAAATCGTATTTAGACGGGTTTTGGGGCCAAAATTTTGTCGATTTTTGGCCGGTTGCTCCCAAATCGCCATATTATACGTGTCAGCCTGCATATAATCCGGGGGGGCCCCCTGCGTAGGCGATCAGTCCCCTGTGTCTCCGGTGAATGAGCTTTACAGTGGCCCCCGGTTAACGATTTTTTTCCTAAAAGTAGTTCAAGGCCCAAAGTATGCCCAAAATTTGTTCCCAAAGGAATTTGTGAAGTAGATTGGGTCCTTTTTCAAACCCCAAAAACTCCCGTACAAACTACTTAAAATAATACATTAATTTTTGGTCGCATTCGGAGGTGATCGTTTTGGGGGTCCACTGTCGTACCCCATGCATTCATCCAAAACATTTCCATAAAATCCCTTGGGGTTTTGTGCTTGTTTATTTGTGTGACTGTGAATAAGCCCATGGGTCCATAGGGAAAATTCCTAGTAAGGTTCTTTGGGAAAGAAAGTGAGAAAACATGATGGAATTTAACCCTTTTCAGGGTCCAAGGCCCCAAAACTGAAGTGGTGCCCCCGTGTCCAGAATTTAAAAAAAAAAAAAATGTTATTTTTTTTTTTATGAAAAGGTTTTGAGAATTTTTTGTGAAGGTAATAAAACAAAAAAATACGAAATTTGTGGAAATTTACAAAATTAGCTCTGTGAATTTTTGGTGTCGCGATATTTCGAATCGGCGTTGCCGATTTTGACTCCCCTTTTAGGCCAATTACTTATTCCAGTGACCAAATTCTTAGCTATTTCATGTTTACTTCTATTCTATCGATTTAGCACAAAAACGCCAAGTCAAACCCTTTCAACACAAAATAAAATGACCGGGAAATTTGGTAATTTTTGGGCCAATTTAACACAAAGTTCAAAATATTCCAATTTCAAAATAGGGTCCAGAAATAAACAATGTAGGTTTTTCCTGGCACTAAACTAACATTTCCTCTGTTCATTAGTTATGTTTTGAGGCTTTACAAATAAATTCCATTTTAAATTTTTATTCACATAATGAATTTTTATTCACACCAAAAAATAGAGATTTACTGTTATGCAATATTGTAATAATTGTATAAAATATCATAAACCACATTTGTGAATGTATATTAGACCCACCAGCTGGCGTGTATAAGACGCGTGAGGTCGTTTGTTTACTCTTGAACATCGGCAAAAATTTAACATTTCCGCCACTTTGAGCTCAGTTTCAAGCCATTTCCAGTGCTAACACCAATCAAAATTATCTCTATTT